TACGATCTCGCGCAGGTTCTCGCGCTCATCCGGCGCTTAAACTCTCGACAAACGAAACTTCGGAATCCATTGCGACCGCCGACACTTGTCTCGCTCCTCGTGCTTCCAATAAAATTATCCCGCGATGTATCGCATGCATAATAACGCGATTGTATTTTTATCGGGGAATTTCTCCGCCCGCTCCCGCGCGAAGAGAGAAACGTTGCGAGTCTCGTTGTTAATTGCAACGGAAAATCCGCTTTTCCGTCATATCTTTTATTTTATGCCGTAATATGCATTGCTTGGGATTTCACATTTCAAAGTCCAAAGGAAACGACAGAAAGAAGAGAGGCGGCGGGCGACATGAAAAGTGTTTCGCACGCGGCTGCGATAAAGCCGAAAACCTCGCGTCTGGGAAAGCTGAGTCGAAAGAACACGCGGGACGCGTCTGAGCCGCTGCTCTGTCGCTAACATCGTTTCGGAAAATAGGACGGTTACAAATTTCTTCTCCGAGACCCGCGAATTAAATTGACGTAGTCGTAGCTGCACGGGTAGTCTCGTTTGAGGACTACCCGTTATCTTAATTACACGAACGTCTTGTAACATCTTGTTACAAGTTTCCAGGAGGGTTCCAGAGAAAGTATCGCTTTACGCGGAGCATGGCATCGCAAGGATGCACTTTTCGCTCGATAAGCAGGGGTTCTTCTCGTTAGAAAGGGCGCAATGGAATTACGAGGCTTTCTGCGGGGCACTTTTAGAACGGCGATGAACCCCGTTCGATAGGACAGTGGAGAGCAGATCCAATTTCTACGACACTCGGAGGTGTGCGCATGTTCAAGCTTCTTCTTATTTCTGTCTCTTACACGCTTGAGCTGCAAATTCTCGAGCTTGAGCCGCACGTTCCCTCGCAACGGATGAATCAGATTCTTCCGAAATCCCGCACTTGCCATGCGCACGAATGAGCAGAGAGACGTTCACATACCGATTTTGTCAACACCCAACCGCCGCACGTCTCGATCTTCCGCGATCCAGTCCCCTCGAGGCAGAACCGAATCCAAAATCCGGGTCTCACATCCGCGTGTTTTGTCGGCCGACGTCGCAGCCAATTCGCTCGCTAATTAGACGACACGCACCGCTTGCAGTCCGAAAAACTCTCGCGACGTCCCGATACGTCCGCTGGGCAGGCCGCGATGGTACTACTCGTATATCAATACTCGATATTGAGCGCAGGAGAGACGCAGGAGAGACGCAGGCTTATCGGCACAGGCCGGCCTTATTTTTCAAGCGGCCAGCTCGAGATTCAGCCGCGTATCTCGTCTTGTTACTCGGCGCGTACTCGGCGCGAGGGCGAAAGTACAGCGCGAGGTAGGGTGGATCAAGTGCGCGGGGGGGGGGGGCCGGTAGTAAGGAGAAGCTGGTCGAGAGGGAATGAAGTGGGGAAAGGATGGAGGACGAGCTGAGAGTGCTCCTCTCCGGGCGCGAAAAAGTAGAAACCTCCAGCGACCCCTGCGAGATCTTGACACAGACGAACAGTGGGGCCGCGGTGACAGAGCGGAGTTATGAATGCCGCGATGCCGTATGCTTTTGTATGCAGCCCCGCTCCCGGGAATTACGGGAACTCGGTTCCGCGCGAGTTCCGCGCCGCGCCGCGCCGCGTCATGCCGGAACGTCCCCCCGGGAACGCGATAAATTCAGGCTTTGTGCCGCGAATGATCCGGTCCGGCCGCGCGATGGGCGAAGCGTTTCTTCGCTCTTCCGCACGCGCGTAGCGGGCATTATACACGTGCGGCGACAAATCGCGAAGGTTACGCCCGGCCTGCGAGAAGAAACGCGTGGAACGTGAAACGAATTGGCGTAATCCGAGCCGCAAAGCGGTTCAAATTCACATTTCAAACCTCACATTTCAAGCTCTGGAGAGGGGGAGGGAGGGAGAGAGAGAGAGAGAGAGAGAGAGAGAGAGAGAGAGGAAGAGGAAAAAAAGAGGGCCGAGGTGGGAAATGTTTTTTACACGACCGCGATAAATATCAACGTTTCGCGTTCGGGAAACGTGGATTAAAACACGCGAAATCTGTAAACTGCTGTTCTCTGCTGCATCGTTTGAAAATATCACGGTTACAAATTTACTCCTTGATAAAAATTGGATTGACGTAGTTGCGGCTGACATTTGGTTGATGCGAAAGGTGGTCGGTTTGTCGAGTCATGCAGAAGACGAAGTCGTGTCCAGTTTCAAACATTCAACAAAAATTAATTTCAGAACAATCATCTAAATTTTAGTGGATTTTATTCTTATATATGGCCTCAAGAGAGGATTCCTCTAAAATTAAGAGGAAAATATTATAAATACACTATTCTTAAAGTTAAAGGGATTATATGTTATGTTACATGTATAATGCAAGTCTTATCGATTTTAATACAAATTTCCTCTTATACACATACAGATTATTTAATCTTTTTTTAAGAAGTTTATTATTTATTCTTATTGTACTTTATTCTTACTGGTTATACTGGCTAATTTGAAAAAATTGTTATAATGTACACAACGAAAAATAATATATATAGATGTACTTCTGGTTCTAGTTCTACAATAAGTAGGCACGAATGAAACAAAATCATCATGACAAATAAATTTCCAATCAGTTTTGTTATGAACTTCATAACTACAAAGATGTTCATCATAATCAATTGTATGAAACATAGTTAAAAGAAAGAATATATTATTCAACTCCTACAATATAGATTATAAACTGTATTTGACCAAATATGAGTAAATTATCTTCGTTATAAATATGTTGCTGCAACACGCATTCCCTTTTCAAAAAGCGTTCCGAATATTCTGACCCGTGAACATAATATATGATAACTTTTTCGTTCATGTCTAGAGCATGACTGAACAAAAGAAGCCGTTCAAATCCATATATTCCTCTTCATATGAGAGAAAAATTGATATAAGAGGAAATCTTTTTCAAAGAGGAAAATTAGAATTAGAAAAAGTTAGAATAATATCTAATAAACTTTTAGATGAATGGGTCACTTTAATCGTTTTATCGAAAGAGGAATCCTTCTTCTGTAAAACAAAAGCTTTGCTTTTCTTTTACAGGGTATGAGACTATAGGAGAAATCATTTTACAAATAGAGTATATTTTTTTTGGATGTTAAAATGTAATTAAATATGAAATCCGATTTCCTTAAGTAATAGGTTCGACAGTCGATATCTTTGACATTTCACTTTTATAATTCCTGATTTTTTCTTGTCGCGAAGGTACGCCATCACTCTTTCAAACGCGTGTTTCGGTTTGTGATTATCTTTCGAATTGTCTTTATTACAGCAATTTTTGTATAACCACGGATAAGTAAAAAATTCGTGCGATCTTCGAATATGAGTTCCGTCGTGGAATCAACGCAGCGCAGACAACTCGAAATATCAACAGAGTGTTTGGTGAAGATGTGACTAATAACCCGCACAGTTAGCAACGTCGACGGTTTGAGAAGTTTCGTTTTGGCGATTTTAATTTTGAAAATAAGTCGTGTGGGTAACTTGAGACTAAGGTGGATAACGATGAGCTGAAAGCTGCAGTGGAAGCGGATATATCTCAAACTACGCGTGAATTAGCAACAAGGTCTAACGTTACTGTTCCATACAACAGTACCGGACCATTTGAAACAGTACTGGACCATTTGAAACAAATCAGCGAGGTAAAGAGGCTGGATTTCACATGAATTAAACGAGCGTCTGGAGAGAAATCGTCTCAAAGCTTGCCTTTCTTCACTACGACGACAGTGAAGGCGAACTATTGGGTTGGCAACTAAGTGATTGCGGATTTTGTCGACAGATGGATTTTACACTTTCTTTTGTTTCGTTAACGTGTTCGAAGTACCTAACCTATATTTTTTTCTTATTGTTTGGACTTCTACCTTTCATTTAGTACAAAAATTATATCGATTAGTTCTTTAGTTTTGTTTTTATCCCAATTTAAAAATGGAAGAGCAAGACGTGCACTTCAGACATATTTTATTGTATTATTTCCGAAAAGGCAAGAACGCATCGCAAGCACACAAGAAGTTATGTGCCGTATATGGGAATGAAGCCTTGAAAGAAAGGCAGTGTCAAAATTGGTTTGCCAGATTTCGTTCTGGTGATTTTTCATTGAAAAATGCTCAACGATCCGGCCGTCCAGTCGAATGAGACCCATATCAAGGCCATTATCGATTCAGATCGTCATAGCACAACACGTGATATCGCAGAGAAGCTCAATGTATCGCATACATGCATTGAAAAAAATTTAAAAAAGCAAATTTAAAATTTTGAATTTTCATTCTTATTTAAAATCCGCAATCACTTAGTTGCCAACCCAATATTTTTGCATCGAACTGTTATGCGTGATGAGAGACGGATTTTCTTTTATATCGCAAGCGTTCAGCACTATAATTGGATATAGATAAAGTTCCGAAACCATATATCCACCATGAAAATGGTGGACCACCGCTGATATTATCCACTACAGCTTCATGAAACCTGGTCAAGCGATTACAGCGGATGTCTACTGTAATCAGCTGGATGAAATGATGACGACGCTTGCGATTAAGCAGCCGAGATTGGTCAATAGAAACAGACCAATCCTCTTGCAAGACAACGCTCGACTACATGTCGCACAAATAACGCTGCTCAAACTACAGGAACTGGACTTGGAAATTGTCTGTCACCCGCCGTATTTCACCAGACCTTGCACCAACTACCGCTTCTTCTCCAGGAGCACTTCTTGGAGAAATATTCAATTCCCAACAAGCTGTGGAAAATCTTTCACGATTTCAAGCTTCTTCGCTACTGGCATAAACAAGCGCTACCGTTAAGATGTCGCAAAACTGTGTCGGTAGTTTAGGCGCATACTTTGATTAATTGTACTACTTCCAGTTTGGAGAAATGTGGTGAACCAAACTTTTGATTCGAAATCGGACGTTTCGTATTTAATGACCCAATAATATCCAACTTGTCTGTGTGAACGTTTAAGCGAAAAATAACATACTTTTCGTAGCGATCTGCAGATCGGCGAGATGAACAACGGGCGTATTAGCGATCGTTCTTCCGCTCGAATCACAGTCTCTCGAGGCTAATCTTCGGTTTATCGACCGGCGGAGGTCGCCGCAGGCGCGCATAATATCCTGCAGGCGAAATAATCGGGTGGATTAACACGCGAGTCGATTCTCATTTAGCCGGGAATATCCCGGCCGTGATGACGGCACACGTCGAAGACTTTTGTCCACTGGATGTCATTGTCATTAGCCCCGGCGAGCGGGGCTTAAAACCGCGCGAATCGAGCACCGTGCAAATTGAATGCCACGTCATTCAGGCGCACACACATCGCTGACTTGCACTCTTCGTCCGCGCGCGATTCGAGCGCGTCGCCGAAAAGGCGGGCGCCGTGAGAGAATCCAAAGCCGAGTCATGAAGAATTAGCGGAGTCGAGCCGAGCTGAGCCGAGTCGTCACTCGAAATCCCGTCAGAGTCGTAACGCTGTTTCATCGACATGATACTCGCCGCTGTAACACGCCGCCGCTCCTCGCGAAGAATTCAATTGCCGACGGTCTCGCAATAATGAACGCGAAATTGAATATCGCGCTCTCTCTCTCTCTCTCTCTCTCTCTTTGCGCGGAGTAAACCGTCCGTACCGGCGCTTCGCAAACCACGTCAGCCACGTCACACTATTTCGGGAGCACTCAGACGCGATGCCTTTAAATAACTATGGACGCCGACTGACGCAGGAACTGACACCGCTTAACGATAAGCGACACGTCGGTCGGTCCGCCGATTCGCGCGTTTAAAACATTCAATGCGACAGCCCTGTTTGAATCCTCCTTTTACTCCGGGTGAAAGACCCGCATACGAGACGCGTGGAATTACACGCGACACACGTACTCGCCGTAATCGTCGCTCAAGCGAGATTCACGCAAGCTCGCCTTGTAATTCTGCCGCGTCTTCAGCTGTAACTCGCACTCTTTGTACGCGCGGAATGTTATTCGCACGTTGCCGATGGGTCTCTCTCTCTCTCTCTCTCTCTCAGAAATATCGCGTTTATAAATTCTCGCATCGCACTCCCTCGGAGCTTCGTCGACCGAATATATTCTCACGTCTCTCTCCGTGCGCTCCGATGAGAATAAGATGGATCGTCGCGTCGAATCTCTCTCTGGCAGGGAACGCCCGAGGAAAATATCGGGACCTTTGGCTCGCGTTATCGCTCGGTTCAGCCAATAAGACGGGAAGCCGCTATGGGTCTCGCATGGTATGGTAACATCATCGCTCGTATCTGCCGATAGACACAATACGGTGTGACAAAGTGTACGTTATCGCAGCGCGTACTCTCCACGCCGCCGAGCGCGATCGATCGCGCCGCAGTTGTAATGTGGTGTACGTGCGTCAAGCTTGCTGACTAATTAATACCGAGGATTTTGCTGCTTCGCCGTGCCGAACCGGGTCACCTTAACGCCGTTAAATTTACAACGCTGGGTCTCCTGTAAAAACGGCTCCCTCTCTGACGGGAGGTAAAAGTACGAGAGAGGGTGGATTTTTGTTGGTAAATTACGTTACTGAAGTATCCAATAACCGACGCGGGGAAGTTCGCGGGAAAGAAATCTCTTCGAGAGAGAGAGAGAGAGAGAGAGAATGGAAATTGATCTTACTTGAAATAAATATTTACAAGCAGACCGCCCACGCGGTAAGAATGGGAAAAGCTCTCGCGATTATTTGCCGGTTCGTTTTTGCGGAGATAGAACACGGTCCTCCGTGTATATTCTCTGTCGAGTGCGTGTTTGAAATCTCGTCGCAGGTAGACATCGATCGATTTTTCTCGCTCACCGACGCATGACTGAGCGCGCCGCGCCGCGCCGTGTCTCTCTCTTCTTTGTGAATGTTCAATTGAAGTAACGACTCTCTGACTGATGCCTCGTAAAGCAAATCGACACGCTGTACGGAATCTGATCTACGGAGTCAGACTTGCCGCGAACAGCAACAGCCATCGCTCGTATTCGCGATGCCAAATCCGGGTTTATAAATAGGGGGAGGGGTGCAAAGTTCCAAGAGTGCTTTATCATCCGGATCCTGGACCGGCGTGTAAAAATAGATGATCTCTCGACGGCGGCGGTGCTTTTATGCGCTGCTGTAACGGCGTTTCCATCATCGGATCGCTAAACGCATCGCGGCGAAACGGCATTTTCCGCCCGCGTGAGCCCGGATGAGTATCGCCAGACGTATCGCGAGATGCATTTCTGTTCTCTGCTTGTTACTCTCTCCCGCTCGGGGTTCTTCATACGGAGCTTCCGCATTGCCGAGCAGCGGCTTTCGATTCGTTATTTACCGTACCTCCTTTCTCCGAGGGAAGCTCTTCGGGAGAAAAACACAATGCAGCCCTGAGGAAAACCCAAATTCCCCTCACGCGGTTATAATGCACGCTTTGGAACGGGGATTTGTTGCACGTGTGAGGCTCGGGAGACGTTCTAAATTCTGCAGAGAACTTCGATTTTCCCAGCGCAACTGGAAACACATTAGCCGACTAGAAATTGATCCCATGATCCTGATCAGGTTAACCTCATTTGGACATCAAGTCCCAATAAGGTAATAATACTATCGGGTCCTAGTAAGTCATGTAACGCAGCGTGGATATCAGGACCTTGCTAAAGATTCATAGTCAGGTCCTTATTGAGTTACATGGAATCCTTATTATGTTTTTTTTTTCAAATTATGGCTTCCGATTACTCGCCACGGCTATATTGGACGATGACATTAGAAATAAGAAATGATACGCTGAGAATTCTTTCATCTCACTCCCAAGTAAAAAGATATTTGCATGAGATAATATTTTAGATCGCTTGAGCGTACTTGTAAAATGTTTCGGAAAAGAAACATAAAATGAATATCATATAAGATCATAAAGTATCACAAGGTGGCAAGACATGAAGCAGTTAAAGAGAAAAGTCGCATTAATTTTACAACTATTTATTGACTGCTAAAAAAAGGATAGTTTCTATAGCATTTTATAAATATATTCAAGTGATCTGAAGTGTTTTTTCAATGCAAACATCTTCATATTTGGAAATGACACCCAAAAATTGTTTTGTTAAAACTCGATAATGCAAATTATATCAGGTACAATGAATAAGATCCCGACAAGGACCTGATCAACCGAACCATATTATATCATACACTAGGTTGGTACATTAAGGTCCTAATGTGGACCCAATCATTATAACCTTGTAAAGGTCTTCCTTACTCATTTGTTGCTAGGACATTATAAGGACTGACTTACTTAGGATTACCTTTCATTCGCTCTATTTAGGTCCTTATCAATGTTGGGTGAACCTGATCAAAATTTCTAGTCGGGATAATATCGATTGAACAGTACCGGGTCCTCTCCAATTTCTACCATATATTTTGCTTTTAGATGACAATAACGACGAAAAATATCCCGATGGAGTCTCGCGGATCCTCGCGAGGGAGTGAAAAAAACTCTTCGAGCCTCATCGCGTACGGATATTCTCGTGGAACGATATTGAAACTCTCTGTTGCTTGCATACAGGGCCTTTCACATTTGATTCCGGACTTTCGCTCGAGCTTTCGCTTTTCGCGTCAAAATGTCAGTGACCTTTCATAAGAGCGGCTTCGCACATCCATCCTCGCGTAAGACCACGTTTGACCATTTCCGAGGAAACAAGGCCGAGGGAGTGGCGCGAAAAAGGACGACTATCGAGGGCGAAGTGCTCGGTTCAGAGTGATGACGTCTTGCCATTTGCTCGGGAGGTGTCCATCCCCTCTGATCCCTTTAATTCGTGATAAACGTCCTGCGGTACGATCGGTCTTTCTTCCCGGCCGGCCATTCTTCTTCCGGCCTTTGGAATTATATCCCGCTGGCTCGCGCATTGTGTGCGACTTTGACCGGCTCTCGTTTTTCCGACTCGCCGAATACGCGCGAAAACGTCGCGCGGAAATAAGAAACGTAAAGACCGGCGGATCAGGAAATTTATAGCTCGCTTTTCAGCCGGCACCGAATGCGGCTCGGCTCGAAAGCGCCTCGGCCTGCGGGGCGCGACGGAGATGACTCGCTCCGAGAAAGTAATGGACACCGTTTCTCTCGGATGAGGATCTGATTGGATTTCGGGAAGCGCACGGCGCGACGATACACCGAGCTAACTCGCGGGAAATTCATGGAGAAATAAGGAAAGGCCGGCGAAGCACGCAGCGAGAGGCGCTTAGATTTCGTCAGTCGGCGAAGGGGGCTTTGAGGGGGACGAACGGGAAGCGAAACACGAAGGAAGGCATTAAGTTCCTCCGAGAAAAGCGCGCCGGATTGAATACTACAGGATTAATGTAATAAAGCGGCCGACTCAATCGTCAGAGCTAAATCCGATGAAGGCTTCGCGGATCGATGGGAAAAAGGCCTGCCGGGTCTAAAGGGTAGACGGCGAGAAGCCGGCCTCTAGCCTGCAATTGAGAATAGGCAATTGCGTGTATATTCTATCGGTTCGCAAACGTCTAGTCAAAGCTTTATACGCGGAGCGGCTGACGGCCGATAATATCACGGCTCCTCTCACTTTGTTGATGCACGAATCAAAATGATGTCGTGCGCTTTATAAATATCCCTCGCCTCGCACTCTCTCGTGGAATCGAAAAGAAGCGTGTTGGACGGCCGCCGATGGCTTCGTTTTATCGTACGCTTAGTGGACTCTGGTAGCATCGCGGAACCGTTTGAAAAATGCAGCAGTCAGTCCAATATTTTTTAAAAATTCAAACGCCGGACTACGTTCCGAAGTTTCAGTAGGGGAACTTCCAGGCTCATAAATAATTCCGCAATCGTAAGGAAATTGCAACGCCCTGCGTTTCTCTTAAGAGGCCAGCGGGGAAGAATGCGAATGTCGGGGAAGCCCCGTTAAATTCCACGAAAAATTCGCAACGGGGGAGGATGATTTTGTCGTGTCTCAGCGGTCCTCTTCTTGATCCCGGAGACTGACTCTAATCGCACTAATTGGAAAAGTAATTTGCTGCCCGCGATTTCGAAGAATATCGAGAACGGAACGGTCGTTATCTCATGGAAAAATAAAGTGCAAAGTGCTCCCCCCCCCCCCCGGCAAGAACTGCGGCGAGCTCCAACGCTATTTGTCAATTTCCACTTGCA